AATCGTGAACGCTTAATGCTCCCCATTTTCGAACACCCTAGAATGATGATAATCATTCATGAAATCCTAACGAAGTTGTATTTATTCAGGTTTTAGTTTTGTACTGTTTATAAATTTGTTCAGTACCTACTCAGAGCTTCAGAAGGCATATCAGCCAATGGAGTGAGTTGCGTGCCTGATAAGCTGAAGGTCCTGGGTTCAATCCCTACTCGCCCTCCATTTTGTTTCCTCTTGTCTGCCCCTAGAATATGTTCAGGACGTCCTAGGAATAGCCTTCCTTCGAACTTGGTACATCCCAGGGACGAACTAGAATGACATCCCTTTGATGTCCTTGTTGTCTGAAAGTGGATGTCCCTGGGACGTCCTTAGTGTGTAATATGTCCCGCAAAAGATATCTTTGGGATGTGCTAGTATAAAATAAGGAACATCCCTGAGGTGTCCCTATGATTCACTTGTGATGTTAGCGGAGGGTAGCAATAGTAGCGATAACATTTTCAAATTCACTACATTTTGAAACCACCCTGTACTTCATTTCAACAGAAACGGTCACCTTTTTCCATTCTTCTGCCCAACCCTGTATTATGTGAATGCATATTTCGATTGATGGCAAAACACATGAGAAAAATCAATTTTTCTCAATGTGAACAATATCGGTAAGGTTCATTCTTGAGGAGGAGTTAACACTTCTGGGCCTTCCGCGTTGATCAGAAATCATGGAAAATGTTGCTTCTTGAATGGAATTCGATTTCCACGCGTTCTCTCCCTTGAAAAGTAATGAGATGTGGAGAGTGATTATGAGAGTATACGTTCGAGTAATTATTGTTGTCACTCCTGAGATGTAAACACCCTGACTAACATTCTCATTTAATCATTATGTGCGGAACACCTGCTATGCGAAATTCCACATTTCACGACTATTGAATCGATGTAAGCATCCTCGAGAGTCCAACGAATCCTTATCACCACAGGGTAGTCCTATTACATAGATGACTGGAATATTCATGGCACAAAGCATTGTTAACTCATTCTATGAGCTTCAAGCACGTGGTTAATTTAATTAGGAGAGCTGATTATTCTATAGGATGAATTGAATCTTCGTATGGCTAGATTATTGTATCGGTATAATACAGTGTGGAAACCGATGAAGGAATTAAATCCATGTCAACAAAATTCATTGGAAAGTTCGATTTCGAATTCATGTTATGCACAATGAATATTTCATCTTCCTGTCAATCGATTGACTCACAAAACAAAAACTTCAAAATGTTCAAATTTTATAGGCAGTTCAGTTAAACCTTGTTAGATAGGTATCTCGAATCTCTTGAGAATGGTCTATTTCTATTTCATTTCGATTAGGCCATCATATTAGAAAAAAACATTCGAGATATTTGATCTTCATTTTGATTCTTGTCGACACTATAAGTGATGGTAAAAATTGTTTCATTATACTATTGCTTGTATAGTGAATTCACCAATACGTTGAATAGGTTTTTCATACTTAGTGATCGCTCATGCCAATGTGCGATGAAATAGTACATACCATTACATTGTATAAATCTTCATGAATGCGTAAACGGACATGCAGTATGAAAAATCATCAACTGTACAAGTTATGATACAATGAAACAGTATGTATCATAACCTTAAATTCAAACAAGAATCATACCGAATAATTTCGGATTCATTTTACTTGATTCTTTGGGATTTTTTTTCCTCCTTACTATAAAATGAAAAGATTCGTATTATTTCAATAATTTGTAGTAGGGAAAATCATCTGATTTGTCAAACTACAAATATATTGAAATAATACGAATATTTCAATTTTATAGAAACGAGGAGGGAAAATACCAAAGAATCTAGTAAAATGAATGAACCACCTCCTCGATTAACCCACAGACAGTATTTAATTTCGATATATTTGACTGCTCTCTTGCGACTATGGCTCAAACAGATTGGAAAATGAAACAATTATATAGCTGAATGAACCTACCCATTCAACAATATTCAAGTTGACCTATTCCACGATTCAGAAATTTCGAAGTAGGTAAGTAGTTTATCTCTAGGGTTGTTTATTAACACTGTTATGTTAAATGATACATTATAAGCTGAAAACCATAAAGCTAAGCGCAATGTTGTCTAGCTGTGAATTGTACATAATAATGATATTCTATCTTTGATAGCAACAGTTCACTAGCTTAGAAAAATCGGTGGTTGCATCCACCTGGAAAGCTGAGGAGACGGCTGGCTGCGGAGGATATAATTTCCAGGTAGGTCCGATATATGACAGAATCTTGACTTTTTTCAATGCATCCTCACTGCATTTTCTCATCAGCAAACAATGCACGACTGATGTTTTCGATTTTTCATCGATGTTACCTCTCTACTTCTCAAGCCCGATAGGAATACATTATGTTCTGAATGAGGAATGTCATTGATGATATCAACGTTACCATGGCATTTCTCAGACAGTACAGAATATTTCATACAGGCTAATTCACGTTAGATGGCACATTACACGTTTCTGGAGGACGCAACGTATGATTACTAATACTGAGGATTTGGTTCCTTGGAAAATTAGTGGTGTTCTATCGACCTATTCTTCTATATTCTCAAAACTGCGATGTTGCCGCTTATATCTAAAAGTAGAAATATCTCTGATTTCATGAATGGGACACCCTTTATTTTATTCCATTTTCAGATTGATCCTGAAAAGCATATTCATCGATCCAATGAAGATTTTTCAACTTCGAGAATTTTTTTTGTCGAAACTATTCATAATCAGTCAAAGAGGTTTTTATATCCCTATCTCAATTTCTCATCTACTATCAATTGATATTCAATTGAAATAGTTACAGGGTGGTTGGAAATCCCAATTCTGAACCAACCTGTACCTATTCCAATCGAATATCAATTGATACTTAATATAAAGTTGAGATTGAAACATAGAAACCGTTTTTAACAATTATGAATAGATTCGAAACAAAATTATATTAGTTGATATGAATCTCAATTTTTCACACCCTATATCTCTGTAACTGTCACTGCTAGGCCCATAGTGTTATGAGTCAATGAAGTCAACTGTTCATGAGGAACTTGAGATGAAATGATATACATGGTGCCTCATTCAACAAATCATAGTTGTTGCTACTCTCCAATATAAACCGCAACAATTAATGGAGCGCCAATATTAAAGGTCAATAATAGAGCACAAATAATTATCCATGGCACCAAATTTTCAGAATAATACCAAGTAATGTTTTCTAGAAACGGCTAATGTGCATTCCACCGTGAATCAGCCTGTTTGATTTTCTTTGGATGATCCTGCAGAAAATATTGTATTAACATTCAATTTAATATATCATCTGGATGTTCTCTTCGAATATCCTGAGAATATTCAGAATCGTATCATGTTGATGTTATTCTTGAATTAATAAAGAAAATTTGTTTCCTGACTCAACCTTTAGTTCTCTAGCGTCAATGCTAATCATCCTACTAATAAACAGTTCACATCTTTGCTATATTCTGTATTCCTTCTGTATATCGTTACTTCGGAGTTGGTATATTTGAAAGACAGAATAATCAACAAGCATGCTATCTAGCGAATTTCAGCGCATAGACAATCTCTGCCAAGGTTGGGACAGGGAGAAAAGTGTCAGATTTGTAACGTTCGTTTACATCTCAGATATATCAGGAGAACTGGTGATATCATGATGATGAATGATCACAAGTAGAACAAAGATGTATTGAATGATACAGAAATGCCTCTGTTCGAGTTTTCACTGCGTCTTGCGATAAAGTAGGTCGCAGGCGCTGAAGTGATATTTTACGCCCGCAAAATCAGGTGGTAAAGTGCTACTTCACGCCAAGTCGTGCTCACATAGAATCATACAGTTTTATGAATGAAGTGATCGATTTTATAGGCTTAATATCAATTTTGTTACTGGTGGACGAATGCTTGACTACTCAACGCATGGAAAATTAGTATTAGTATTGAATAGGAGGAATACTATATGACTTGAGAGATGAAACGTTGATTTTGTGATATAATTGATATCCATTGAAATATCTATAACCGTAAGATATACAGGTACAGGGTGGCCAACTAAGACTCCAGAGTACGATTTCTCTGTTGTCTTGAGAGATACAAAAAAAATTCATGTATCAAAATCGAAGTAATAACCGAGCTTCACATTTCAACATTTCTTGGAAATACACAGGGTGTTCCGTAAGGCCACAGCACATCGCAGCTATGTTTTTTTCATTGGAACACCCTATATTTTATTTCATTTTTGAATTCTCCCTGGAGATCTGATTTCAACGATGTATCATACTTAGGGTCTAGCAGTGAAAGTTACTGACATATAGGGTGTGCAAAATCGAGATTTTCCAAGTTCAGGATTTTTTTCTGTCGAAACTGTTCATTATTCGTCAAAACGGTTCACATGTCCCTATCTCAACTTTTCACTCACTATCAATTGGTGTTCAATTGACATTTGATTGAAACAAATTGTAAATTTAGATTTTTGACCTCCTTGTATCAATTTCAATTGAACACCAATTGATAGTGAGTGAAAAGTTGAGATAGGGACATGTAAACCGTTTTGACGAATAATAAACAGTTTCGATAGAAAAAAATCGTGAACTTGGAAAATCTCGATTTTGCACACCCTATATGTCAGTAACTTTCACTGCTAGACCCTAAGTATGATACACCGTTGAAATCAGATCTCCAGGGAGAATTCAAAAATGGAATAAAATATAGGGTGTTCCACTGAAAAAAACATAGCTTTGATGTGCTGTGGCCTTACGGAACACCCTGTGTATTTTCAAGAAATTTTGAAATGTGGAGCTCGGTTATTACTTCAATTTTGATACATGATTTTTTTTTGTATCTCTCAAGACAACAGAGAAATCGAACTCTGCAGTCTTAGTTGGCCACCCTGTACATTGCTCAATACCCGTGTTATCCAAATCGATATAAATAATAAAATAAGTCAGTTGTTTTGGGAAACTTTTATATTAGCACAGAAAATATAATAACCATGTATGGAATATATGTGGATATACTACCAGTTGATGTTGCTGGAAAGTCTCGTTGCATAGCTTCGGAATGTTCACCTGAAAAAATAAAATAAAATCGTGTATATATTGTGGGTGTCATCAACTTCAAATCCGGAAACTTATTCGATAAGTCACATATCCCGAAATTTTGTACCATTAACATCAGACTGATTCAAATCGTCATTAAAAACTGCATATTTCGATATTAATGTTTGACAGTTATTATATATCAACTCACAGAATATTTTTCTTGATGCAGAGCTGTATTTAACCCGGCGTCACCCAGTTGGAGAATCGGTACATCATCACCCAAGGGGAAAACAAAACTAAGGAATATAAGCAGTTTTGTACCTTTGTGAAATGAGTTTTGAGATGTACTGACTTCATGATTATGAATATAAACTTTTTATGATAAGTTTAATTCATGAGATATCACCAAAGACATATTGATGGCGAAATTCTCACGAGAATAAATGAACATGATATCTCTGGAAACTGTTTGAAAAAAATACAACAATCAATTCTGTAGAATTTCATCTAAAACTAATGAAGCATGTAGTATATGAAAATAAAATTATAAATTTTTTTACGAGAATTGAAATTTATCTCTCAGAATGAAATGTTTATCCGTTACATAGGTGGGGCTGCTCAGACCCAAAAGCTGTTTACTGCAATGTCATCATCTTGGTAGATGGCTAAAGATTGAATTTGCACCAGAATATCAGAGAATGAAGGATTTTGAAAAGCTATGGGCAACCAAAGAAACGTGCGTGCATTCTAATTGAAATGCCAGTGATTCAAAATTTTTCTGGTTATCTGAGACTCCACCTGGCGACGCCAGGTTAAATGGGGAGTGAAAGGAATTCTAGTTTTTCTACATTGAAAATACAATTTTTGATTGATATAGATTTTTCACCAGGCATTATTACTTTTCTGCGGATGATAAATCAATGTCGTCATCAATATCTATTAACAGCTCTGAGATGTGTGACATTCACATGTGAGAAATGATTTCTTTGCAACTCAACAAATTTATTCGTGTACATTCTGCAAGTCTCAATTAGTGACAATAACAAAAAAAAAAATGAAAGACCTGTGAGAAATTAATATGCGACGAAACGAAACCTTTCGAATTCACCAAATGATAGTATATCGAGATTACTCATCTGTTTCCCATTGCTGTAATCGAGAATGATATCATTCGAAATTGAGCGTAGCGATTTGCACTGATATTTTTAAAGCTGTTTGAGTTCACTGCAGTAAATCAGTCTGAATTCTTCAATGTATGGCAATTAAATCCATGAGTAATTCAGTGTATTTGATCAACCTCGAAAAAAAAATCTTATATATCATTAATCACTGCACAGTGATGATGAAATATCTAGATAGTATATTGTTTTGACGAAATCAGATTCTACTACTTCCACAAATGTAATAATGATTCGATCTCATGAACTTCCTGATTATAACGATAGATGAAAAAGGAGATGTCTCACCCTGTAGTCTGGTAATAAATGTCCTGATTTGTGTAATCACTGAATTCTTTGATATCGATGGTCGCGAGCACTTTTTTCCATGTTTTCCATGTACATCAATATATCACTGACAAACTCATATCTAATCGTTTAATTCGATGTAAAGGTTTCTTGACATATACAGTTCTCACTTTTTTCTTGATCTATTGAATAGAATGAACTTTTTGCGATAGATCGAAGCTTTTCTTACTCTTACTCAGACCATTCAAATAACTCACATCTGTATAAGCGCAATGTCAGCTGCTATTATTCGAAGATATTGCGTGTTCCAGACAAGATATATCGTACTAATTTCAAATTATCTGCTCTCGATACTTGTAGGCTATAACTGAGAATTTATGAATACTGTCTGTAGGTTAATCGAGGAGGTGGTACATATATCATTCCAGATCATTTTCTCTCTCTCTCTCCTCGTCTCTATAAAACAAAAATATCAATATCATTACAATATACGTATAGTAAACACAAATCGAATAATTTGTCCCGCGTTCAAAGAATTTTCCTATCAGAGAGACTAAAAGAAAAATTCACTAGCTTGTCAGTGACAATTTGTATCGAAGAAGGTTTGGGAAAGAGAATTGAAGGAATATAAAAGAAATATCGACACTTTACCTACATGCAAAAAATAATTGGTGAAGAATTCTAGAAAACTGAAAATGTTCATTGGAAAAACATTTGATATGTGGACATACATTCTTCCTAGTAAACTTCACTTTTGAGTTCAAGTAATGTACTGGCCACATCATATGATAGTCAACTACATCCCGAACAGAGTGAGTTGAGTACTGTTCAACCATATTCATATTTACTACATGGGGAATAGTGAATATAACAAAGATTCATCAGCACTTCTTCATTGCATTCAATATTGCGCTCGATCACTATGCTATAGTGGACTCCCCTCTTCAATGTACTGAAACGAACTTGTACATTACTTCAATTGAAACCCATAAAACAAAGTCAGGAATAATAATATCTATCTGGAATTTCGATAGAAAAATATCGTGTTTTTCATTATTGTCTATTCTTTTGTCGATAGCTACTTAACGAAAAAGTGGAAGAAATCGATTCACATGATACCAGTTGGGAGTTGACAGTTGTCAGCCAGGTCGAAATTTCAAATTCATTCGAATGATTTTGTTCCATATTTTTTTATTGAACCAGTCAAAGTCTGCCGTGTAAATTGAAGAGCAGTTCCTTTTGCATTTTGTCTGATCTTTCTGAATCTGATAGAAAATTCATTGAGAAAAGTGGTCACAAAGTGATCATTTTTGACATGACAATGAAACATTGAATTTTACCAAGTCCGGACCTGAATATATTTTTTTTATTCATCCCAATGATGGATACAACAACAACAACAGCAACAACAACAACAATAATTTGCTATCTTGAAGAGTTTCAGTAGAGATACGTCGCTGCAGAATTTCAGCAGATTGAGATGATACATTTCTGTAATATCGGCCATCAAAGTTATATAGCAGTTTCACAAAATACCCTGTATCTTCGTTATGGAGGGTCAAAAACTGTTTTCATATACAGGGTGTTTCAGATTCAAATGTACATATGGTACCTGTAGATAGAGGACAGTTTGGTGGTTTCAAATCACTCCCTATTAATGTGTGAACTGTCTTCCATAACTGAGATACAGGAGGTGATCTTGATTTTGGCAAAATCTTTATGTGGTCATAACTTTTGAATCACTTTGTATTATCCATTCATACTTGGTTGGGATATTCCACTCATGTTGCACAATGGAACTAATTGAAAATTGAAATCAGAATCCAGGTCTGTCTTCAGGAAAAACTAAACATTCATAATATTCAAAAAACAACACCCTGTATATCAAATATTCGTAGATCTGGTTCGATATCTGGAAAGAGCAGAAAATACTGAATTAAATGACCTACCCTTTACAAGTGTGCATCCAATTCAACAAGTGTTACCAGTGACCACAAATCAATTTATTCTACTACTCATATCGATTTTGAGGCATTTATTGATCAAACATTCAATTTGGATACACAAAAATTAGTCTCAGATTGTAACTCCATAGCTGTTGAATCAAAGTTGAACTACCAATGAATTTTTACATTGATAGACAAATTTTTTTATAATGATGATAGGAAATCGACGGTCCGGAAATCTTCTTCGATACTCTCTGGCAGCAGCTCGTCCATTGCCATCACAAAATCCATACACATATCCGCATACTCCGAGTTCGACAATTTATAAGGCATAATTACTTATGAAAAGTTTGAAATGAGACCATCCAATACAATGACCAAGAGATATCTTGATGTGATTAAAAATGTCACATTGATGTTTATTTACCTTCTGTCTTGATTTTGGAATTGTTTGCGAAGCCTACTTTACCGTATTCAATGAATGTATTTAGTGAGAAACGGGCAATCAAAAAGATGTAAAATTATTTGAAAAATATTCTATTAATGTAGAAATTCATTGGTAGTTCAACTTTGATTCAACAGCTATGAAGTTACAATCTGAGACATTTTTTTTTATATCCAAATTGAATGTTTGATCAATAAATGCCTCAAAATCGATATGATTACTAAAATAAATTGATTTGTGGTCACTGGTTAGACATGTTAAATTAGATGCGCACTGGTAAAGAGTAGGTCATCTATTTCAGTTTTTTCCTCTCTTTTCCGATATCGAACCAGATCTTTAAATATTTGATATACAGGGTGTTGTTTTTTGAATATTATGAATGTTTAGTTTTTCCTGAAGACGGACCTGGATTCTGATTTCAATTTCCAATTGAATTCCATTGTGTAACATGGGTGGAATATCCCAACCAAGTATGTATGTTTTATACAAAGGGATTCAAAAGTTATGAACACATAAATATTTTGCCAAAATCGAGATAACGTCCTGTATCTCAGTTATAAAAGACAGTAGACACAACAATAAGGGATGATTTGAAAGCACCAAAGTGTCTTCTATCTACAGGTATCGTATGTACATGCAAATCTGAAACACCCTGTATATACAGAAACTCGTCTCGATTTCCCCTATTTGGCTATGCGTGTCTTCTCATGAAACACTCTGTATAATCAAGTCTTGTACATTGGAGTCGGATTCACTATGCAGAAGTGATGATTCAAATCCACACCATCATTATCTGGAGTAGTATATTGAACTCTGATGAATATCGTGATCATATATTATTCCACTGTTTTCATAGAAAAATATATCATAGGACTCTACCTATCAACCTGAAACACAGACTGACTGACAAAAAACAAGTCACAGCGCCGTTATTATACATCGAATCATCACAAAATTTTGATGAACAAAAAAGGAAATGGAATAACCTCTGAAATATAAACTATTAAAAGGCAAGCTCTAATGTCAGCGACTGTCAATTATTTGGTTCAAACGGTTGACACATATTTTTTAGATTTTTTTCTGATGAATACTTCTTTCAAAGTAAGTGACGTATAACCATCTGATTATCGCCCATAATTGGTTAAGAAAAATGAGGGATATCTCTGCTAA